ATATATATATATACTCAGCAAGACTTTTTGTGTTGTCTGTAGCATTTAAGAAATCTTATCCACAAGTCTGAAAAGTCTTCTGTCTTTTGCCTTTTGGCTTCATAATGTAGAGATCCAAGCTGCTGACAGAGCACTGTCTATCAGACCTGTAAGGAGAGAGCTTTGTGGCTCTGAAACAGCTGTGTAAAGAGGTCAAGGGTCAAACCCTGTCTGGCGCTCAGTAGTAACATAAAGTTCTAATCACCGCTCAGATGCCTGCCTGTCAATCATCTCGGCAGGTCTGAGCAGGCTCAGAGGAAGAGTCACTATAGTGAGGACACAGAAATCCTTTGGATCTAAGAACAAAGAACACTTCAACCCAAAAAGCTCCTGAATTTGTGTTCATTTGTGAAAGAGTTTATGTTACTCTGAATTTATGCTGGAAAAATTAAGTTCAGCAATCAATTAGTAAGGAAAAAAGAGCTCTTATCTGTCTGGAAAGAAAAGCTATGGTTACAGCAGGATGCCAAAGCTCATTTTTCCTTATGGTCCACAAATCTATGGAGCAAAAGTCTGCTTTAATGTATATAACAAACCTAACCACAGTGCACACTGTGAACTTGTTTTTCTAAGGCTGGTGTTTGTGACATTTTACCCTACTCTGGAAATAAATCAGGCTGGTTGAATCCCCACTGCTGTGTGTTTTTGTTATTTTCTAGAATCTGAGACTATTTTTACAACTGCCCCAAAACAGAAGCAGACACGAGACATAATAAAGGAAATCACCATCTTGCTGAAGCCTCTAGAGAGAAAGGGAGACATGTAGACTAATACATCATCATTATTTTGCTTCATATTCAGGAAGTTATGTAGAGTCTTACATTAGCACAAGGAAAAATGCAAAGATTTAGTTAATAATGTCTGAAGAGGAAGAGAAAAGCCTGTAATGTCTGACAAACCAAACCAAACGGTAATGTTTGTTTAGAAGATAATCAAAGTTGTGAAGCCGATGATCTGAAAACTGTCCAGTCAGTTAAATTAACAAAGTCCCACAACAGAATCTCACCCACCAACACATATATATAT